GACACAACTTACACGCTGGTTATACATCTTTGTTAGATCTTCCACAGATGAGGCTTCATGTAATGAGGCTAAAAGGTTTTTACAGTGCCTTGTGAGCCAGTACATCACTATTTCTGTAGCTCTCCTGCAGACAGAATTCCCTTTGAAGTCAATGGGAGTTCTGTCTGAATAAGGACTTCAGGATTTGGGCCTCAGGATGTAAATGCTGTGATCAATCTTTTGTGTATAATGACTAACATTTTCTTGGCTTTCAGAACTATACTAAGCCAAATAGTAGCCCCAGGGATTCAAAATGGGTTAAACAGGAGAATCTGTTTTGTTTCAACCTACGTCTTTATTTAGCTTTTAAATCACCATAGTTCCCATGCCTAGTACTGACCTGCCCAAAATAAACCTTCCAACAATAAGGCCAGATGTTTTAATAGCTAGTTTTACAATCAAAACTATCGTGGCATGAAACAGTATGAAACAAAATTGTGTTCAATGAAAGACAAACGTACTTGCTGTAGACTGACCTGTTCGGAAGTTGTGACCTTAATGTACAGTCTGGAACAAAAGACTTTAAGGCTGAGGTCTGTAGGCAGTGATTTTGATCAGAACATCACAGTACCAGACACTGCAAACATCAGTTAGTGATACAAAAAGTCGACAGTCTGGGTAGGCAAGACAGATATTCCCTCTCTCCTATTCCTTACAATTACTCTGACTTTACAGATGGGAAGTTCATCTAGGAAGAGATTATGTGACTGATCCATTACCTCTCACAAAGTCTAGAATGAAACCTGCCTCCCAACTTGGTGCCTTACTGTCAAGATTATGCTCCCCCTTTTACATAGTGATAACAGGACATTACAGGACTTAAAAAATCATAGATTCCCACCCCAGCCTTGGCTGAACTCCAGCATCCCCAGCCACTTTCCCCCCCTGTATTTTCATTTCTTTGCAAAACAATTTGATCTTTGACATTTCAAATCACCCGATTTCTACTCCAGAAACTTTGGAATCACACAATACTTTTCATGTGACATTTTGTTTGGTAAAAATTGAAGGTAGGGTGGTTTTTAACCAATGGAATGACTTAGTTTTGTCTGTCCTCCTCAAGTTCAGATAAAGCTACTTTATTATATCTGCAAATTTTCATATTTTGGCAGTTACCTGATAAATTTAATCAAATTTTATTACCATGTGCAGTGATCAAATGCTTCTTTGGGCTTGCATGTAACTGGTTAGAAATTCCGATGTAAATGAGCTGTTAACTGATCTAAAGAACTGCTGTGAATTTGACCAAGCTGCACTCACCTGTTTCTCTTTCTGCTACCTTTTGCTGTTTATTACTTTGTGTTGATTTTGGCTGTTCCTGTCATATTTTTCCAGCCTGAAGTAAATAAAGAATCTCAATATTGCATACGTTTAAAATAACAGGCTGATCTTCACTTAGAAAGATGAAATTCTTTATAACAAGTCCTTTTAAAAGAGTAAAATTATCTTGTCAGAGGTATATTCAATATTTTTGAGCTTAAGCACCCATCAGTAGAACTTTATCTGATCAGTTTCTCCATAACACTTTTGATGTCCTACACTGACCTCTCAGGGTCTCCAGCAAGCGCAGCTGTTGTGTCTTTCTAACAGTGGCTATCATATGGCCTTGGTTCTTCCTGTTACCTGTGATGAGCATTTTGTCAGTGCTGGTTTCAGTGGCTGCAAGTCTAAATCCAGTTATAAATGGCACCCTGATATGGGCAGCTGTCAGAGCAATCAGCTCAGCTCATGGCATCGACAGCGTGGGGCAGAGCAAAACCCTCTTGCATTTTCAACAGGTTATCATGCAACTGGATTAATGAAACAAGGTATAAAAGAAACAAGAGAAAAGATAGACTGAAAATACATTGCAAACTCATGTTGCCTGAACAGAGGTAATAGGCTGAATGTTTTGTATGTGAAACATGGGTGGAGGGGAATAGGTGAAAGGCCCTGTTCCTTTCCTGGAGTCCCAGGTCTGATGCTGGCCCTTTAGTGTTTTGGTGGAGGATGTTCTGCAACTTGTGTTTCTGCCCTCAGTCATTGGAGAGTCTAGAAGAACTGTAAATGCCATGTTGGTATGCCGTACAATGTGAAAACATTGAAGCCTTCAGGTGTGAATATATACAGGACTGTCACTAGCAGACAGCAAAGTGTTTTGAAGGAGCAACTCCAGAGCTGGTAAGGGAAACATAAAAAGCAATGTATGATCTGGAATGTGAGCAATGGGACTCCCAAACACATGTTCAGCAACTGGAAGAACTTCTCCACTGTATCAGAAGACTGAGAAGGTCTCCACTATATGCCAGATACGCCCTGACACAGCTGAACTTAAAGTTCTAGACAAGTAAAGTCTTGTCCAGCCTACAAGTTGCAGCAGTGATGTAAACAGCCTGCTGATTCAGTTGTATTTGTAGATGGTTTCCAGCGTTTGCTTCTTTGATTTCTTCTTCTTCTTTTTTTTTTCTTTCTTTTTTACATCTGGGTAATGAGTTCCCTTCCCTCTCCCTCCCTCAACTGGGTCAAAAACCCTCTGACTTCCCCAGTGTCTTCAAAGTCTTGGCTCTGCTCACCTGTGTGGATTTAGTCCAGGTGCTAGGCTGGTTCCTCCCTAGAGGCTTCTCCATGCAATGCACTCTGTTATCTTGGTTCCTGATCTTGAGGGAAGAGGCAAAACAGCCAGAAGGGAGAGGCACGAAGGAAGAGACATCACAAGACCACTCAGCAGTTCAATTTGTCCGCCTCAAAGATGAGGACATAGTAATGTGTTTTTCCTTTCAAATTTAGAAACAAAGAGGAGGATTTGGTTATAGCAAAGCTGTTCCCCAAGTCTCTTTTCTTCCCCATTCCCCTAAGGTATGGGCCCCAGGGAGCACAGAGACAAGGCACTTAAAGAGCCAGTGCCAGGGAGCTTCTAAAAGTCCCCCTTAAGCAGCCAACCACAGTCATGGGGAGATATGGGTGGGCACAGCATAGGCTGGCAAGTCATGGAGGACAAGGGGACACCTGTGTGTGGCCCTGCTCAGTGCTTCTAGGGTGACCCATGGGGAGCTCCTTCACAAGCCCATCAGATCACCGCTACGTGATCCTAGCTGGCAGGCAGCACTCAGCTTTTAGGATCCTACAGAGTCTGAGATTGGTTCCTTCACCCCAAATTTGGAAACCTTCTAGGAAATGGAATTTGGTTGCTTATGCCCAAAGTGAAGACTGCAATTTGCTTTTATCTGTCCTATTTGTACATATTTTTCTTGGGGACAGGTATAAGAAAATGGGTCTCAAGGTGCTGTGTGATAAATTCAGACACAATCACACTTTTTACTTGCCAGAATACCCTCTTCCCTTGCATCTGAGGACTGCAGAATACAAAATTATATATAGATCATTAAAGGATATATGTTAAGATGGTATCTACACTATGAATTGTAACTGTGTTGTACGCGGCCATTCTGATTTGGTACACCAACAGGTGAGGCAGTGTCTGGGAGTACACCACTAGAAACAAATTTTGGTCTCTCTGGAGCACCATGAGCTATGAAATAGTTTCCTGAAATAAGCATCTTCCTACTGACATCCAAGATGAGGCTGACAGTGGCTCTGAGACTGCAGAATATGAATTAAAGTTGTATACACGCCAGCTGTGTTAGAAATCCAGCACAACACACTGCATATCAAACGGGAGAAAGATTCATCTAGGGAAAATAATTTCAGCTTCCAAAGAGAGACTAAAGAAGGCTAATAAAAAATATGTTTTCTTAATGGCCCTTTGTTGCTCTTGTTTTAATCTTCAAAAACCTATATCTCCACACATTATAACACTAATGATTACCTTTGTTTTTCATTCTTGCTGACAAAGAAATGAAATACACACTAAATGTGTTAGCTAGAGTGCACTGCAGAGTCTTAGGATCAGTGCAACTGTGGTTCCCAGGTGGAAATGCAGCTTACAAATAGGCAAATGCTGTTTACCTGCATCAACCCTTTGTTGCCTTATTGTTTCAGGAAAATAGCAGTGAAAGACAGCTTGGGTTAGAGAAGTAAAACAAGAATTAATAAATGGTCTCTTTCAGAATGCTTCCATCATCACATTTAGATAGTGATAATCTCTTCTTTGTGAGGCATACCAGCTCCCTTGCAGCTCTGTATGGAAACAGCTCCTCTAAGCTTCCACCTCAAGTGAAACAAATGGGTAAAGCAAGAGACTTGACCTGAGGAGCCCTGTGCTCTGTTCTCAGCTCTACCACTAGAAGAGCATGACAGGGGGTAAGGCATTTAATGCCTCTGTGTATCAATCTTCCCCAGATTTGCTCAGATGATGAGGTCTGTTGATGACACAGAGCTGGGGTATGCAGTTGAGGCAGAGGAGTGGACACTGTACAGGAGGAAAACAAACTTGATTAGAGAATAGAAAAATAGAAATGGCGTGGAAGGGGTGGAGCACAAAGTGCAAGATGGTGTCCTTGGGGACCAGACCACAGAATCTTCTCCTACTATATGAGACCTCATCAGTTGAGAGCAACCATTGGTTACTTGTTAGAAGACCATGTACAAGGCAAGAACTTGAGAGGAAAGAACTTGAAGTCATATTAAAGGACAACAGCTAGAATTGAGAAGAGCAGTGAGGTCTGTGGTGGTCTTCTAGCAGGATAGTTGAGACATGTATTCTACACTAACATCTTTCAAAACATAGTGCCTTAGGAGTTTATGAAAACCAAATTCCAGTCCCATGATCTCAAGGCAACAGTGCAGAGTTTTGAACAGATTAAGCTCCTGACTTTCAAACTGTTGATGAAAGAGGAACTGTATATCACGTGTAGTAACAGAAATGTTCTTGAGGATTCCTTTGTAAATTTGACTATGGCAATGGTTTGAGTGCTACCTGCATGTTTAAAATGGAAGCAAAATACCATGTGCCAATGGATGAGTAACATAAAATAGAACTAACTGGTCCAGTTTAATTGCCTATGGTAAACCAAACACAAATATTTGACAATACCTAGAAACTGTAGAAAGCTTATTTGATCTATTATATTTCAAAAGGAGTAGCCTACCTGGTGCTTTTAGTTAAGCACAACAAGGATTACATATAAGCATAAAAGCTTTATCTTAGTAGCATGCCTTCACAATTTTAGTCATCTTAAGGTACTCACTTACCTACTTATTACCCACTTTCAAGGTCTCATTTTTCCATTAGGTTTTCAGAAGCAATTGTAAAGTAATTTCTTGACTCCATTAACATTATTTTTCCTGTTATTTTCAAACCAAATTCCATGATTTCTTTTCCAGACCTTACACAGTATTTCTGTCAAGAGCTCTTTTTCCAGGTGTGACTATATTTCAACACGTATATAGAACCTAAGGAAATATAGCTACACAGATTTTATTTGAATTATAAGCACAATTACAAATTGAGCTTTGTTACACTTTGAAATACTTCTTTCAACTAACTGCCAGTGTACACTGCTGTTACCAAAAGGCATCCCAATCACTAAACAGCAAGATCTTAAGTTTCATCTACTACCAGCTTTGAAATGTAGTTTCTGTAGCAAACAGTGTTTGTCTCTGGATCTAGAGCAACAGAGAGCATGTTCTCCATTTCTTCCTCAGTAAAGGGCTCACCTGAAAGACAGCAGAGAATAACACTTTGTCTTCATTACTCTTTCAAGGGCTGGCAAACCATCCTGCTTTTTCCTTGAAAGGATCCCCTTTTGGTCCCCATACGGAGGAGAAAAAGAGTAATATGAAGGTTCCGATTCCTTCATTTTTGCAAATGTGAGTCCTGCACACCAAGCGAGCTGGTCTAAGGGAAAGGAGACAGAGGGCCTGGGTTTTTTGATCTCCTTTTAGTTTACAAATTCAAAAATGTCCTATTCTGCTCTGCTTCAGAGACGTTGAAGCAACCATTTTTGGCAGAATTAATTGTTCTAATGTGTACAATAGAGTGATTTTCTCTCATTTGGCTATCCTTGCACTTGCATTTACATTGTGAAAGGCTTTGTTTTTTTTCTTTTTGGAAGCTTTAAATCTGCTGAAGGCCTAATTCATCCCTCTTTGAGAACAAGGTTCCCATCTGAGGATAAGTCTTGCAGAAAGGCTGCACATCATTTTGTACCTGAGACAGGCAGGCACGCATGAGTCAGACATGCAACAAAAGCAGGCTCTTCAAGGGATATTAAGGATTACATGATATACAACTCAAATCTGGTCTTTGAATCTCTTTGTCTGCATATGGCACTAGAATTAAGATCAAGATAATGTAGGAATGAGTGAGCACTGAAACTACCTGAATCATCAGGAAACCCAAGTAACCATTTTTACAGGACAGAAAAAGTCAAATTGTTAGGAAGCACAGAGATGCACACAGGATCAGAAAATATCCACATAAGATTGAATTATAACTCTTAATAATAATCTTTATCTTATAATGCCTGCAAGCAGGCAGACGACTGTTTCTTCCCTGCATTATTCACCAGCGAAATGTTCTCGTCTGCAGCCACTCATCACAGCAACACTATTGTTTGAAGACAACGTATCAACTTCTGCACGTTTTGGCATGCAGAATGAGGACCTCAAGGTGCCATATACACATGTAATGTTTATTTACTTAAGTACTGATATTACAAAAGTCACGTTACCTTCTTCAGTCAAATATTTGACCAGATCCTCTTTAGTAATATATCCACATTTATTCTCATCCAAAACCTTTAAGGAAAAAAGAATGAAACTTGTGGGTTTAATCATTTTGAACCAAGAATCAGCAACTTCTTTCCTGCAATTAGGTACTGGAGTATTTATTTACAGACCTCAAATGCATGTAGAAGAACATCTTCTGGAATAGGCCGGTAGCTGAAACCATTGAATCAGAACAGTTAAGTCACTGTTTGCCAGGCTGCTGTACTATTCTGAAAAAATAAAATTAGTACTAACAGAAAATGAAAACTTATTTTCTCTGACAATTTACTAAGTTTTTCTATCAAGCATTTGATTCTAGCTTGATTTTTTTTTTAACTGTCCATATCTTTACCTCTTATGTCTTTTATTCTACTCCTGTTTAATTTCCCTTGTGTTAAGGAGCCACATGAATGGTTCTGCATGTTTGGGCAGGCTGAGTGGGTCAGCAGGAATCAGTAACAGGTGAATCATTCCACACAGCCAACGCACTGAACAGAAGATGGCCAAACCAAGGAAATGAAGTTCTGTCCCAGTAGGCTGGTAGCTAAGGCAACAGATCACCCAGTGGGACTTTGACAGTCTAATGAGCTGATGATGTGCAAAGGAGGCTGGTGGCTATAAAAGAAAAGGTATGTCACTGACAGTTTCAGAGAGATGGGAGAACTGGGCATGTGTGTGCGTGCGTATGTGTGCCTGATTTCAGAGCTGGAGAGGAAGCACTGTGTAGCAACAGACCTTCCACAGCCCAGCACTCTCACCAACCCCCAAGAATACTAAAGAGAAGACATTGAAGCCAGAGAGGTTCTAACTGCTTCATTGCTTCATCCAGACCCACGTCACTCTTTTACTATCTGAAAATCAAATGTTCTAACAAGAGGCCTTGTTTTTTGTGATCCAAATCTCATGTGCCCTTTGAGAAGTAAACTATGAACATAATGCCCCAAAAGATAAAGTGGGTCTTGACAAGCCTGCACTAGCCTGGGCAAAGCACAAGGGGAAGGTTTCGTGTGTGTTTGTGTGGAGGGAGAGCGTCAAGATATCCTTTTATGAAAGGGTGAACATCAGTGTAGAGCCAGAAACTGACATGAAGGTCAGAGAACACAAAGGTACGGGAACCTGGAAAGCCACACTGGTACTAAACACTGATGGCTGGTCTCTGTCCAGGCATGGGTGCAAAGACTCTGAAACACAGCCCCAGGGTGGTCCCACTCCCTCTGGATGCTGCAAGACAGTCTGGGAAATGCTGTAGACTTTTCATGTGTAACACACCCTCCTACCAAAGGCTCTCTGTGTGCAAAATAGCTTCTCAGGATTGGACAAGATGGAGTCCCTCAAAACCTGCCATCTTTAAAAAGAAAGATAAATTGCCCATAAGTAATCTTGCTTTTAGTGGAAAATATTGAAATAACACAAGTTCCTGTGTAAATGCAAAGATTTCCATGAATCTTTGAATACTGAACAGCATTTTTGTTCTAGATTTTCAAATCGGTAGTCTTTCAGAGTGCTATTTTGTGTACATTCAACTGTACCTGGCAGTCGCTTTGACACGTGAATATGAAGCTGATTTATACAACTTATTAAAAATACACTGTAACAGACTGTGCTTTTCAGTAACTCTAATTCATATGTTCAGAGAAAGTAACGGTTATGACCTTAATTTGCATATAAAACATTTCAGAGATGCACAAAACATGTTGAATAGCAAGTTAATTCTGATTCACATTATCACAATTCACGACTATAAGCTGGTATTATTTATATCATCCATGCAACATAAACTCATGTAGACAAAGTAATTTTGAAACAAAATCTATCAAGCTAATGTAAACTGAGTTTAAATACCAAGGCAAAAATAACTGGTATTCTTTCCAGTTATATAAAATTACTGTAGATATATTTATTCAGCATCAACTCAGTCAATCTGGACTGAACTACAGACACAGAAAAATCCACTTTCCATTACCTTCTGTCGAGCAGTACTTTTGTCATCACAGGAAGAAACTTTTCCAGATGAACGTAGCCACCTGGTTCTTCTTCGTCTTCTACCTAAAAATAAAACTTAAATATGGCAGGTTATATGACTCATTAGCAAACTAATATGAAACCCAGAAAACTGGGGTGGTTCCTGCATTAAAATTATAGTGTTAGACTTTGAATATTTATAGTAGGTTTTTAATATCACATGGCACCATAACATCTGAGTGAAATACTTGTGAACAAATAGAAAGAAATGGGACGAAGAAATACTATCCCAGGCAAAACACAGGCCTGCTCTTAGAGGCAGTTTCAACAACTCAATACTGCCCTCTTGTGCTTAGAAACCATTCGTGCAAAGGAGCCGGACGCCTAGTAACTGATCTTATCTCCCAGAGTAACTGAGCAGAGGTTTAACCATTCAGACTGCATTCATGCTAGTGAAACCTGGCAGAACCTGGAATATTCCCAAGCAGTGTAACGTGACCACCCTTAACAGCAAACCATTAGCACGCTCCCTGGCATGATTTTGGCCTGTGCCACCTACCACTCCTCCCAGCAGTCACCAGGCCTGGCTAGGACCTTAGGGACTTTCCCCCAGCAAGCTGCTTTGTGCAGCCACTCTGCATAAAACATTTACCAGGGCAGACATGAGCTGCTCTGTGCCAGCTGGCTTCAACACCCAAGGATGTTTCTGGGCATATTTAATGTGCTAGTTTGGACATAGCCCCGGTCTAGTACACCTCAAGGATGGAATTTGTTGTCTCCACATGTTTCACAGCCAGAGAGAGTCATCAGGGGAAGGACCAGAGAAGTAGGCAGACTGAGCCAGGGCAGGCTGAAACAGTCATAAGGCAGCCCATAAAAAGCTATACAAAGAAAAGCTTCCTTTTGCTTCCTGAATAAATTAACAGATTAGTCCTAAAACATCAGGGACTTCTAGCAGCATTCTCACTGCATTCCCATACTTCCACAAGAGATGAGCAATGTGGTAAAAACTGCTCCCTATCATTGGGGTACATCCCCTCCCTGAAAATTTCAAGTTTTAGTCCAAAAAGGACCCCTCTTAATGGAGCTAGCCTGTCCTGTCTGTGTTGAACCTGGATGCATGTCTTGAAGTCTCACATGGCAGCAGCAACACCTTGCTAGGCTCTCCAAGACACAGCTCAGATTGAAAGAAGACTCGGAGTCAGAAGACTCTGTTCTGAAATCTCCTAACCAAACCAGGAAAAGACAAAGTAAGACAAAGCTCATCTTGCGAGCTGGGTCAGAGCTGATACATGCAGTTGCTTAAATGGAAAGCTGCAATTGCTGCTGCATGATCTTTCCCAGTGCTCTTGAAGGGTTTTGGTCGCAAAAAGCAGGCAGCCACCACCTCTTCCTGCTTTAGAGTGGAAACTGGCTTGAAAAAGACACTTTTTCCCTTCTGTTTGGCGAGCCTAGCATAAGGGATCCTTAGCAAGGAAATGAAGCTGCTACACACTTCATGTTAAATCAGATGGTACCTTTTACTGCTACAGAATCATTTGTTTTACTGCTTGCCTGATTAAAAAGATGTAACAAAATACCTGGCAAAACTTAACTTCTTTCCAGTGACATAACAGTTAGCCAATACACTGCATCACAAATACTGAGATGCATAAGTACATAGGATGTTTTAGCAACATCTGTCCTTCAGCTAGTATTAGGTTAGAAATCCACCGAGACAGAAAAATAAATATGGTGGCTATTTATCAGAAATAGGTATGTCTTGTGTTAAGCAGAACAAAGAAAAGCAAGGACCCAAAAAATCCATGAAGATGCCAAGTTATATGGAAGATGTTTAAGAGAAAAAAAACAAACCCAAAACATTAGATCTGCTCATCCAAACATCCGAAGGTCATCCTAATTTTCATACCAGAAGAACTCACTCTCATGACCACTTCAGAGTTTGATGTAGCAAATACCTGTGAAACTGTTATCCCTCACGGACAAATATAATCCAGATTTGTCTCTTTTTATTGGCATGCTATTTTTATTCTGCCTCTAGAAACCAGTCTGTGAAATAAATGTGTCCTTCCTGACAATGGACCTGGGAGATGATGAGCAACCTCAGCTGCCTCTGACCTGGAACGAACAGCTTCCATTTCAGTGGGTCTTACAGGCCCAGCAATAGCATGAACTGTTAAAATCAATCCTATTTCTAACACTGGATACATATGTGTATAAATTATAAATTATATAAATATATATTAATATATTAACATTGCCTAAATCAGTAAGTATTCCGATTTGCAGGTATATGTATCCTCTTACTCTTCCTCATGCTCACTCCTGTTCTACATTTCATTTCCCATTTATGTTTTCTTTTTTTCTGTAATTCCTCCTCTTTTCACAGTGACTGTGAAAATAACAGGTTTTGCTTGTTCAAATTCTGTGAGTTTTGCTCTATTTCTTTCCTTTGTGTACATCTACAGCCTCCGTAACAACTGTATCGTAGCACCCATTATGTTTCATGTCTCTGCTCTCACAGCCATACTGTTATCATCCATGTAACATTTGGGACTCCAGTCACAAAGAAACAAAACCATTGTCCAGAGCTCTCCAGGAGATCTGTGGCACAGCAGTGCACTGAACCTGGGATTTCAAACTCCAGGCATTGTAATAACCCTGAAAGTAGCTTTCACCATCTCCAGGCTTATCACTTAATCTTAACTTTATAAATAGGCCTAAAGACATAATATTAAGTATAACATTTAGCATAAAGCAATATAGGAAATAGTATATGATAACTTTTACAGATAAAATAATTATATGAATGCTGATTTGGCAGATATGAATAATTTGAGGGCAACATACGCTAGTTTAGCTACAATAAAGCTAATAGGAAGATGAGATTACTGAGAGACACAAGTAGTGAGAAACAGAAATTAATCACAGTTTACAATGAGAAAATACACAGGAGAAACTGATTACAAACTGGCCAACAGAGACAATTTTTACTTTATCTAGATTAAGATAAAATTATACTACCTTAGTCAATGATAACAGTATCTTAAAGAAATTAAGACAAACTTTTGATTAACATGATATATCACAGGTTTCACAAGAAGAGTATTATTCTGGTACTAAACCTACGCCAAAGTTTCATTTACAGGCACCATGAAACCTTCTGTGGGATTTAATTTCCAGTTCAGTGCTCTTTAAGGTTAACCAGTACTCTTGAATGTACTTCTTGCAGTATTTGTACTTTAATACACTTACAATCAACAATCACGTATGTTACATTATTCTATCTCAAGAATCTTCCGCCTCATTGCTGTATTGTATTGCACCTTCCTATGCATTACTTGTTATGCAGTAACACTGAAGAAGAAGAAAATGAAAAACAGAAGGAATTCCAACCTCTCTGGGAGGGGAAAAAAGGCCTTGAACAACTGTCCTGGTTTCCCTGGACTGGGCTGAGGTCATCAAAGCATCCCCTTCCTTTTCTCAGTTCTGAATCTTGAGTCACTTGCACTGTTCATTTGCTGCAAACAAAAATCCCTCTGGGCCACTAAAAATATCATCGATCTTAAGCACCATAATTTCTCTTTGTTGTCAGTAGAAGCTGGGACAATCTGGTACTGAGAGTACAGAGCCAGAGCAGACAGACTGCAGTATCACATTAAAAGTTCTTTCTCCTCTGATGGTTCTTTGCATTTCCTCATCTGAAGCAGCTGCATCATTTTCACAAGACTTAGCATAAGACTTCTCACACTAAATTCTGATCTACAAGAGACCAGACAAGCCTATCAAGGAGAGACTGCTACTGCAAGCGTCTGAATTTTCATTGGCAACATGAAGAAAAAAAGAGATCAATTCCCAGTATCCTGACCTATACATGAAAAAGAGAAAAATCCTTCCCCCACCTCTCAGCCTGAGCATCTTCCATTCCCTAAGGCAGCATATCAGTTTGCAAAAAGAATGTGAAGTCTTTTTCCCATTTCTTTGTCTCATTTGTTCACCATACCCTGCCACAGCACTAGCACACCATCCTTTCTATTACAAGCATGAGGTAAGGAGACAAAAATTAGTGTAGGAAAAACTGTGGAGAGATGTGATTGAATTTCCTTGCCCCTGTGTTTCACTGGGAGAACTGGAGGACCACCACAGAAAGGTTTTATATCTGAATTCTGACTTACAGGCTTAAGTAATCAAGTAAGAAAAGGTTACTTACAACTGAGAAAGCTCAAGACTGGGAAAGACCTCAAGAAGGACAGAAAGCTGAGATACAAGATAGCAATAATGGGACCCAGTGAAAGAAATAACAGGTCTTCCCTCACTGTATTTTTGGAATTTGGTGCTTTGTGGAGGTTTTTTAATCTATAGAACACCTGCTCAAGAACTCATTTTATTATTTAATCATCCAGTGTGTGTGTCCACAGCATGTCCAAAAGAGCGAGATGGTTAGGGCTTGGGTATCCTAATCCAACTGAGTTTTTTTTCATCAGCCAAAACCAATTTTTCCTCCATTTTCTACAAATGTTCCTCCACCGTGGCACAGTGCCACAGTGTCAATGACTCCTTATTTTGACCAATGAATATTGTTACCTCATCAACCTGAAAGCTTGCTTCAGGGCAACCTGAGAGACTGCCTGTCTGAACCGCTTCTATGACGCTTCCAACCTCTGGAAAAAGAGCTTAGGTTTCCCACACAGCCAGGCAGAAGGGACAGACTCCTGCAAGTTTAAGATTGAAAAAAAAAAACCCAACATATCTAAACATTTACCTTTGCAATCAGTTCATTCAGTTCTGCCTCAGTCGGGAAGCAACCTAGTGTCCTGACAATTACACCAATATCCCTGAAATAAAGAAAGAACAACTTTGTCTGTAAATCTGCAACACAAGAGTGACTGGAGAATCCAGATACCAATTCAGAGTTTGCGTATAGGGGTGTGCATGTAAAAGCAACCAAGCACACACAAGCATACATATGTAGATGATGTCTCAGTAAGCAATGTCTATTTTTACAGACATTAAATATTCTGGAGAGTTTTGGAAGTGTGTAATTGTTCTTGTGACTTTCCCTCAAAATTCCTCTTTGCCATTGTGTTGCAGTGTACTGTGTGCATGTTACTTTTCAACTGCTGTCCTCTAATTGTTAAGCTTAATTTCAGTAAAGTCTACATTTATGCAGTTAATAAAGTACTTTGAAACCTACTGAGATGAAAGGTAACAAATAAAATATATGTTTACATTAAATGCTATAAAGATACAGATTTTAACTGCAGTAAAGAACAATTACAAGAGGTCAGGAAAGAGGCAGCTCTGCTATGCCCCTGCTGTGCTCTGAAAGAGTCAAACACACCAGCACAGTGGTTTGTCACCACCCTGTTAATGCTGCAAATTGTATTCATAGCTTGCATTTGCTGCTGAACCTGGTGCAGTTGTTCTGAGGCTCTAAATAAAATTCTGACCAAACTGGCAATGCCTCAAAAAAATTTCACAACATCACAGACTAGAAACAGAAAAGCTGTAAAAAAGAGTGCTAATGAGACGTAGGGTATGATTGAAAACAAAATAATGGAATTATCAATATATCTTGTGATTTTCAGACCAATTCTACAATACAGAAACGCAAGCACATTTGAATAAGTATCCACAGTGGTGGTGGTTCCCATGAGTCAAACCTCTGTGGTTTCTTCATCTTCACCAGTACATTTGGTGGAAAAAATAGATTGCCTATTAAAAATGGTAGGTACAAGAAGCAATGACCTTTGTAAAATCATCTTATAATGGTAAGGTCTTAAATGTGGCACACCAAACACACATGAAATTATGCGGGTCAGTCTTTGGCCTCCTCAGACAGGTCACAAGAAGCTCCCATTCTGACTGAAAGCATTGGGAAGCACTACAATGTACTACAGAGAGGAAAAGGCCAGCTGCAGCAACCTAGTTACAAGACAAAACCCAGTCCCACACATAGAGTTGTTATGAAATTAAGCCATCTACTCAAATGACTCAGTGAAATGTTGCCCCCTCTGGATGTGAATGAGAGTTGGGCCATTGGCCTCAATGAGGTCAGGCAATCCTTATCCATGCACCCTGTTTCTAGTATGGATATAGTATATTTGATGCCCTCACTCCTGCACTTCCTTTTCTGGCTAAAAGATACTTGTAAATGTTCTCTGCCACCCCCAGAGAAAAACCCTACACAAATCATGCCTCCTTGCTGTCTCACACTATTTCTGCTGTTGCAGACTGCCAGAGATGGGAAGGCTGCTATCACCCTCCTTGCTCACCTCGTACTCAGCAATGGAACATGGTAATACTCAGTAATGGAACTTAGCCATGCGACTAAGGTAAGCCAGGTCCTAGAAGAGTTTGCAAAATGTGCATTGCTTTCTGCTGTTTCTGGCAGTCTGCGTGTGTGTGCCATCATCTGAGGATGCTGTTTGAAGCGCCTGTGGTGAAAACGTCACATTTGGTAATAACACAGAGTTTAAAGGACACAGCTAGAAAATTGTATTTTCCTCCCAGCCACTTCCTCTCACTTAGTTGAGCAGCTTCAGTTTCTGCTCTGTGGTTTCTAGCACACAAAAATGATGGTCAAAATGAGTTTATGTTCATACCAGTTTCATAACAAGGATGTAATGTAACTTTGGGTCATGGTTTTCACCCTCTGTATAACACTTCCAATGACAAGATTTGAAAAGGCCTTGACTCAGGATGTGTTGTAAGCAGCACAAAATAGCACTGTCTTCCTCATGCTTAATTTCATAATAACTTGTATTTGCATCAGGAATCATGCAATACTGATGGCGGCCTGTCAAGCCAGTGTAATTTTCCATATTCTTCATGGGTATCGGATATTTCAGGCAATAATATTCATATGTCTGCAATTCTGTTAAGAATTGTGCTCTACTGCCACCTTCTGATACAAGATAACCAGCCATTAATAATCCCATTATTGTGATGCAGCCCTGCAATATGAACCTGGGAATAATTAGATAATAAATTGTTCATTGCCAGTAACTGTACTATGATAAAAAACAATGTGAAACTGTGCATTTACTATGTTAAATAGACTTCTGAATGTCCTCTCTCACATGTTAGGACCTACTGCCTGAATAAATACTTTTTTTTTTTTGAAGTTTGCTTGTATCGTTTCATTGTTGTCACATTTTTCAAACTCTATATCCATTATATAATAGACTGAGACCTGTAGCAAATTTTACTGCTATTTAGTCAGGACTGCAGATGTAAATGACAAATAAGAAATGGGTACATCATGGTGTGGTGAGGGCGAGGCGCACTCCAGGGCAGGGGGGGTGGCATTGTCAGGGGTTCCCATGGAGGTGGCAGGCTTAGGAGGGCTGCCACAGCCTGTCCCACCACCCAGCCAGGAGCAGGGCAGCTGGGGAACGCCAGGAGCAGGGCAGCCAGGGGACGCCAGGGCAGCTCCAGCCCTGGGCATCAGGCACCTCCCTGGGGATTGGCCAGGAGATTTGAGGGAGCTCTCTTCCCAAAGGCCCCTAAGGGCAACAGAACAGCAATGGTATCCACTGTGGAGATGCACCCTGAAATTCTCCCTGCCTACTATAGCTGAAAAATCATTTCACTTCTATGAAGTGCCCATAATTTTTTTAATTTAGAGGCACTAGTAGGCATGCATTGTTAAAACCATCACAGAAATATTTTGTACCTCTCTCACCTGCTTTATAATGTAGAAAAGGCGTTTGGAACATTTAAAGATGTTTTCCAGTTTGGCTTTGTGAGGAATGTCTAATGGTAATTCCATTAATTCTCACACTCCTTTGTAGTGATAATACTCAATAACTGATTCATAATTAAAAGCTCTGGTGATATTCTGGTGAAAATACTAATTTGAAATGTAAAAAATTACTTCAGTAAACAACAGTTTATAACAACTTCAGACCCTGCTCAGTGAGGCATAAAAACACAGTTTATGTGTTTTGCAACAAAAGCTGTATTGCTGTGTGTGTGGATGTTTATGTTAAAATGACATTAAAGTAGCACTGTCAAATATTCAAACTTTTAAAATACCAGGATTAAGGTATTTAGCAATTTTAAAATTTTACTTCTGTTAGTTCTGTATCTTCTGTTAGTTCTATACCTTGTAGCCAGTAAGGCCCTGATCAGTCTATGCTAGAGGCATAATGTATGCAGTTCTCTCTCTTGACTCCCAACTGTACATCCCATTCCCTCAGTTCTGGTCATCCCATTTCAAAAAGGAGACAGCGGATAAAGAAGGAGTACAAAAAAAAAATAAATGGCCAGAGCTATGGAACAGTATCTCCTAAGAGATTAAACACATCCAGGCTCTTCAGCCTTAAACTACTGTGACGGAGGACACATGTGACAGGTATGAAATCATTAATGGCATTGAGAAGATTAATAGAGAATGATTGCTTGCTATTTATCATAAAAATTCAGGCACCCTTCAAATAATGTGGCAGATGTACAAAAAACAACAAGAAATGCTGCATGTTTGCTCAATTCCTTATATTCCTCCCCAAAGTAACTACCAGTTCAGATAAGGGTGTTGAGCTAAATGGGCTTTTGGTACAATCAAGTTTGATCATCTTCGTATAATCACAGAATGGTTTCAATTGGAAGGGACCTTAAAGAACATCCAGTTCCAACCCCCTGCCATAAGGAGGGACACCTTCCACCAGACCAGGTTGCTCAAAGCCCCATCCAACCTGGCCTTGAACACTGCCAGGGATGGGGCAGCCACAGCTTCTCTGGATGACCTATGCTAGTGTCTAAGCAGCTGCACAGTAAAGAATTTTTCCCCTTATCTAATGTAAATCTACCCTCTTTCAGTTTAAAGGCATTCCTCCTTGTCCAATCCCTACCTGCCCTTGTAAAAATCCCTCTTCAGCTTTCTTGTAGGAGCTTTCTTGTAGCTTTATGTTATTGAAATGCTGCTGTAAAATCTCCCCAGATACTTTATATTTAATAGAATTAATATAATCAGGGCAGAGATTTGCTAATAATAATTGTAGCCTTAGACTTCTAGTCTAGCTGCAGTTTCCTCTTGCCTCTTTACTCCACCAGTCCCAGCATCCCTCTCTCAAGCCAGTTTCAATCTTCAACAGTGAACAATGCAAAATATCTATTAAACAAGCAAAGACATACTTGCCCAATCAGGGCCAAAAGGACTGTTTCAATTACATTTTCTGGTAAAGCAGATGCAGTTCTTGGGAGTTATTTATCTCTATACTAGATCCTATAACATTTCTGTGCGAAGGTATTTACAAACCTGGCATCCACAGAATTACTGCCTTCATTGTCAAATGCCTCAAAAACTTCTATAATCTTTTTCTCAATTTCAGCTACTGCACCGTCTGCAAAAAGAAACATAAGAAAAGGAAAAGAAAGTTTCACTGAGCTGTTGCAACTGATTTATTTCCAATTAGGGAACTGCGAAAGCAGAAGCACCAAAATTGATAAAGGGGCAGCCAGGAAAGGTACTGCAAAAGAGCAGATGTTATTCTGAAAAAAAAACCAAAACACCACTCTAAATGCAAAATCTGTCAATTGTATTAGCAATACATTAGTAATATGGCCTTGCTATGGCTCTGCAGCTACATCTAGCCTGGTGGTAATGCTGTGCCTCAGCTACATGATCCCCAAGCTGTCCAGGGGTAGACCCTGCCCAGAGCATGCCACAGCTTCTTCTGAACTGTAAGCCCTTCCTGGTCACTATGATGCCAGTGGAAGGAGCAAGGCAAATATGGGTCCAGGCTTGCCCTGAGATGGGCTGAGTCACTCCGTCCAGGTTCCTGCATCCAAGGAAACATAAGTGCCCTCATGTCTACTAAACCATAATGTATGACAAGCTGAGAACCACAAACAAAGAGATGGATAAGATACATGCACAGTGAATAAGTGTCATGGTAAATAATTTATTGTAACAGTTTGGAAAGGAAGACTATCTCAGTGAAGGGGAAGAAGTAATTTGCTGCATTTGCTTTTTATACCTCAAAGAATGGGGCAAGAAGAAGCACAAGTTATCATAGTTATATCTTGTCTGAAGCCAGAAATTGCATTCTTGGGTAAGAGAAGTACCAGGAAATAAATTCTGAAGAGAGAAAGAGGTCCAGCTAAAAAAACAAGGAAGCCAGGGTAAATGAAGAATGAACTGGTTAACCCATTTATTAATGTTTGATGCCAAAAGACAGAATATACAAATCAAAGTGATATGGAGCTGACCTTATGGTTCCTGTGGTTAAATACAGCCCCAAATTCTGGTTGGCAAACCAACTCTCAGGAGACACCATTTTGTGAGTTAGCCCCAAAGTCTCCACAGAGATGCCACAGGGAAAAACTGAATGACAACCAGAACATGAGGTTCGTATCAAGTACGCTTGTTTTCACACTTCTGTATTTTCAACATAATAATTAAAACATAGCTCTCCTCTACTAGACAATTTATTTTCTTCTTAGGCTTATGTGGTGTTAAATGTTGAGCAGCTCTGTTGAGCAGCAGCACTAAACCACTGGATCTTGTTCCCACAGGCATAACGAATTCATACCTTGTCTTCTCCAATCCCAGTAGTTTGGCAATCCCAGGGGCTGCAGCATGCAACCATTGTTTCCATTTGCTCTCTTGTCTTTGTGTCAGAAATGTCTGTTTTCTGGCAAAAGATATCAGAACTGAACATAGCTAAATGATACATTGGCTTTGTGATCTCCCTGTCTTGATCTCAACCCATAAGCTTTTTCATTGCATTTTCTTCCCCATGTGCTGTTGAGGAGGGCACTGTTGGGTAGGTGCCTGACAGCCGGCCAAGGTCAACCCACCACAGGCTGCCAGTACTTCAATATAGTAGTGGATTCATCCGGACATAAGGAAGCTGTTCCTCATACAGAAGAGAGGTGCATCCCCTTATAAAGGTACAGGTGCCTGCTGTTTTCCACCTGTGTTTGAACTTTGTACTGAACTTTTCCAAAGGACACTTAAAGAGAAGAGAGCTACAAATATATCCTGTATTCCTCCCTCTGACTTTATCTCCCTGACGGAAGCATAGGCAGGTACATGTACAATGGATTGGAGACTGGAGCTTACTGAGGAAGAAGAGTTCAGTCCCCAGATATAGGACAAGCTGTATTCCTTTCACAGCTTGACAATAATGCCTAACTTTCATGTGCCTAAGCAGTAAAATCCACATTTAATTTCATTCCAGAAAATATAGTTAAATCTCAGTGGACCTGATTCCTTGCAGTAAGATGCCCTAAAGACTCCCAAACTACTAAATTTGATGTGATTTTCTTCGGTGACTTCAGAGAGTCTTGGATCCAGTCTCCAGTATAGGCTGTTGGAGTTTAGTTCTTGAGATCAGGCACTTCAATTGTACACTATGTCTTGCAACAGAGAAATGCTGAAGAAATATTTATAGCTGTGTATTCTTGGCTTGATGGTGAGCCTTCTATAGGAATAAAAATTAACCAAGGGAAGGCAGAGAGAGATTTCCAGTACTGGAACTATGTAGCCATCCAGCCTTTTCAATCTTTGCCTTATGTGAAGAAAGTATGTGAAGAGGGCTATCAAAGAAAGGTCCTGAAATGAAATTAAACTGATGTTTAATCTAAGTACTAGATAACCTGTATTTCTTCCAAAAACTGAGAGGAAGTTATGATTAAGAGCCATATCCACCAAAGAAAACATAATATACTGTAGCCTTCTCAAAGACTCCCTGTGAGATGAGTAACAGGAGATGAGCTATTGCCTAAATCTCTCATCCTTGCTCTGTGAATGAAAGCCAAAGATGTTCAATGCAGTTCTGAATGGCAAAGCTAGTTATCTGAAGCCTTCTATGATTTACCCTAAACTTCTCTTCAGGAGGGAGAAAAAGATGGATTCTGGTGCTAGGGTTAATAATGGATAAAGGTTTAAAATTACACCTCCAAGAAGGGTATTAAAGAGATCAGACACGCAGTTAACTCAGCAGATGTGATGCTCTAATGCACTAAAATCTTTTGGTACAAGGAGACTCATTCCATGGGTATATCGACTAGTTTCATGTTGCCCCACGGAGAAATGTTTTAGAAGTTTTCAGGACAGAAATATGTACACTCTGATTGAATAAAAGATTTCACTTACTTATTCTACTAAGTAGATAAACAGTGCATAATAGAATCATAGAATAGAATAGAATCATCGAATAGTTAGGGTTGGAAAGGACCTTAAGATCCTCAAGTTCCAAACCCCCTACCATGGGCAGGGACACCTCGCTCTAAACCATATTACCCAAGGCCTCGTCCAACCTAGCCTTGAACACTGCCAGGGATGGAGCATTCACAACCTCCTTGGGCAACCCATTCCAGTGCCTCACTACCCTAACAGGAAAGAATTTCCTCCTTATATCCAATCTAAACTTCCCCTGTTTAAGTTTTAACCCATTACCCCTTGTCCTATCACTACAGTCCTTAATGAAGAGTCCATCCCCAGCATCCCTGTAGGCCCCCTTCAGATACTGGAAGGCTGCTATGAGGTCTCCACGCAGCCTTCTCTTATCCAGGCTGAACAGCCCCAACTTTCTCAGCCGATCTTCATATGGGAGGTGCTCCAGTCCCCTGAGCATCCTCATTGCCCTCCTCTGGGCGTGTTCCAACAGTTCCATGTCCTTTTTATGTTGAGGACACCAGAACTGCACACAATACTCCATATGAGGTCTCATGAGAGCAGAATAAAGGGGCAGGATCACCTCCTTCGACATGCTGATCATGCTCCTTTTGATACAGCCCAGGACACCGTTGGCTTTCTGGGCTGTGAGTGCACACTGAAGCCGGCTCATGTTCTTTTTCTCATCCACCAGCACCCCCAAGTCCTTCTCCACAGGGCTGCTCTGAATCTCTTCTCTGCCCAGCCTTTAGCTTGCCTGGGATTGCTCCGACCCAGGTGTAGGGGTCGGAGCAATCCCAGACACAGCTGTGCATGTAACCATGCACTTGGCATGGTTAAACTTCATGAGGTTGGCATCAGCCCACCTCACAAGCGTGTCAAGGTCCCTCTGGATGGCATTCCTTCCCTCCAGCGTATCAACCAAACCACACAGCTTGGTGTCATTGGCAAACTTGCTGAGGGCGCACTCAATCCCACTGTCCATGTCAGCGACAAAGATGTTGAACAAGACCGGTCCCAACACCAATCCCTGAGGGACACCACTCGTTACTGGTCTCCAGCTGGACATTGAGCCATTGACCACAACTCTTTGCATGCGGCCATCCAGCCAGTTCTTTATCCACCAAGTGGTCCATTCATCAAATTGATGTCTCTCCAATTTAGAGACAAGGATGTCGTGTGGGACAGTGTCGAACGCTTTACACAAATCCAGGTAGATGACATCAACTGCTCTACCCCTGTCCATCAGTTCTGTAGCCCCATCATAGAAGGCCACCAAATTGGTCAGGCAGGATTTCCCCTTAGTGAAGCCATGCTGGCTGTCACCAAGCACCTTGTTGTTTTTCATGTGCCTTAGCATGCCTTCCAGGAGAATCTGCTCCAAGATTTTGCCAGGCACAGAGGTGAGACTGACTGGTCTGTAATTCCCCGGGTCATCCATTTTCCCCTTCTTGAAAATGGGGGTTATATTTCCCTTTTTCCAGTCATTGGGAACTTCACCTGACTGCAATGGCTTTTCAAATATGATGGACTTAGCAACTTCATTCGCCAGCTCCTTCAGGACCCGCGGATGGATTTCATCAGGACCCATGGACTTGTGCACGTTCAGTTTCTTAAGATGGTCTCGAACCAGATCCTCTCGTACAGTGGGCCCAAGGTCTTCATTCCCACAGTCCCTGCATCTGCCTTCCAACATTTGGGTGGTGCGTTCATAGCCTTTACTAAAGAAGACCGAGGCAAAGAAGTCATTCAGAACCTCAGCCTTCTCCAAATCCTGAGTAGCTAGTTCACCTGAGAGCTTCCTGAGGGGGCCTACATTCTCCCTAATCTGTTTTTTATTTGCTATGTACCTGTAGAATCCCTTCCTGTTATCCCTAATATCCCTAGCCAAGTTTAATTCTAGCTGGGCCCTAGCTTTCCTAACCTAGTCCCTAGCTTCGCGGACAACATCCCTGTACTCTTCCCAGGCCGCCTGTCCTTGCTTCCACTTTCTATAAAACTCTTTTTTCCTTTGAATTTTCCTCAGGAGCTCCTTATCCATCCAAGGAGGTCTCCTGGCCCTCCTGCTGCACTTCCTTCTAGTTGGGATGCAACACTCCTGAGCTTGTAGCAGGTGATCCTTGAAGACAAACCCAAACCAAGAGTCTTGAGCCCCCCTGCCCTCCAGGGCTATATCCCATGGAACCTTACCAAGCAGGCTCCTGAAGAGGCCAAAGTCTG